AGGTAACACTATTGTGTCTCAAGACACAAATTTAGAGACTGGTTGCTCAATAATGGTCACTGCCTTGATCCTACATTAACACAAAAACATATGTAGCCACAGACTGAAGTGCCAAATGGAAAGCTTCTTTGATGAATCCCCACTTCTGGAGTCGGTGAGCAGTTAAAGCGCTGAGCGTATCAGTTTTCCTTTCTTTTCCGATCTATTGATGCTACCAAGAGCTGCCTTTACATTTGATTCAAAATTGTTCACATATTAGAGACCTCCAACAGAGAAAGGGAATCATCCTCCCTCAGTTAACATATGAGATTGTCTACTTCTACAGAGCAAAATAAGTCACTTAAAAATTCCAGAAGTGTCTGGGAAAGAGACAGTTTGAAATGTATTCCCTGGAAGTTGAATTTACTCTGGGATTCAGCAGGGCAACGAGCCATATGAATGAAGACATCAGATGCTCAGGACTGGAAGATGGGTTGCCAGAGGGAGAGCAGAAGAGATGGACTGGGAGATATTTCAAGGAAAACAATTAGTTCTCAACCCTGGTGCACACATTTACATATGGAGAACAATGAGAGGATGCTCAAGGACTCCAAATTCTGTGCAGGCCAATTTGAATTTATACATAAATGATTTTTACCATTTTGAAATCATCTAGGTTACCACACAGAGCACTGTCTCATAGTTCTAAATTAGCATTTGATGGCTTTTTAAAAGGAATTTTCAACATACAGTGGGATGTCTACCAATATCAGAACCCTTGAGCTTCAAGGCTGACAATTGACTGGCTCATGACAAGAGTAAGTGGACTGTTATTACTTATGATTTTCAACCAAAAGTGAGGAATTTGGATCAGATGTTGACTGTATTACCTTCTAGAACAATAGAAAAATCTAAAGCAATTTCAAGAAATATTGCATAACTTGCTGATAGACATTTTCAGCTTATTTTTAAAAATGTTTATATGTCTCTTGGCTGATGTATCCAGTTGACGAAAGCTAAAGTGTCTGGTAAAAAAAAAAAAACTGAAAAAAAACATGTAATACAAGCTCAGTTTTACTAAAAAAAAAGTGTTACTTATATTTAATTATATACTGTGAGTGTGAAATACTATTAAATACTAATTAAAAAACATGGAAAGCTCTTCTAAGATCTGTTTCCTCTCAAATTTTGAAACTAATTTTAAAAAGTATGCATTAATTATTTCTGATTTGAGGGAATTTTCATCACCACTTGAAGGACATTCTGGCCTGGTTAAACATTTTTCTCCCCTAAGCCCAGGCACTTTGTGTGGTGATATTTTCCTTAACAAGTGGAAGGAGTTGGGAGTGAGGGAGCAGAAAATCTTGCTTTTGGGAAGGCCTCTGGATGCAGTGCCTCGCTTGACTGGCCAGTCCACTCTCTTGGATCCTGCTGCTCCACTGCAGGTCTTTTAAAGGCAGTTGGGACCTTCGCTACTTCTAGCTATATTGGGGATTAAGAAAAGGAGAAAAGAGATGATGGTTTTCCCTTCAGTGCTTGGAAAATGCATAATTAGCTTCCATCCTTCTCCAGGGAAGAACAAAGCTATTTAAGTAATAGCTTGGGGAGGGGGCATAAAAACAACTGATGAATTAATTTAGGAAGTAAAGAAATCTTCCAAAATAAGATGAATATTTCTCTTTGTAGGAGTCCTACGGTTTTCAAGCTTATTCGCAAGCACCTATTTCTGCTAAGTTCTAACCCAATAGTGTCAGATCAGCTCTAGAGACACTTAGTTAACAGCTGCCAAAATATAATCCCCTTTAGATTTTTGTAAGTGTGAGTCAGTGGAGGAGTTCTGGTAAGGCGATATTTACTGAATCTTACAGAAGAAAGAAGAATCAGCTAGAAATAGTGAAGGTAGAGAGAAATACTTTGTAGATGAAGGAATATTATGACTAAAGAAAAATTAGAAGTTTGTGTATAGACTGTAAATTAAGGATCAAGGATGGAAGAAAATAGGAGTCAGATCACAAAGGCTTGTTGCGGGGCTCAGCTTGTTTCCTATTGGAAATGGAAACTCACTGGACGTTTTCATAAAGGAAAAGGAAAATGATGAATTTGCATTTTTTTCATAGATTTGGACTGCAATCAAGTGTTATTCAGAATAGATGTGGTTAAGACTAAACATGGGAGAACCTGGGAAGAGTATAGCAAGAGATGAGGACAGACATTATTAAGGAATGCTGGTCTCTCCAGTGAAACTGGACAGTTTTCAGGAATTTATTCAGGATCTCATGCATGAGGGACAAAAGAAAAATGAGCTGTCCTCCTACCTTGAAGGGATGGTACCAAATGCAGGGCATAGAACAGGGAGCATAGGAAATTTGAAAGAGGACATTTGCAGAATGAAAATATTCATGTAAAGGGGGATACTGAGTTGGCAATTGCACAATAGGTCTGAGGTTTAGGATACTGAAAATAGTGGAAAATAATGGATTTGGAAATAATTTGAGTATATAATTAGCAACTAGAACTAAAGAAAGATATGTACATTAAGCACCCCAGAAAACAAGTTTTGGACAAAACCCAACTTATTATTTGAAATTCATATAATAGCTACTTCATTTTTTTCCTCTGGTACTTAGAAGAGATCACACATCTATGTTGTTTCAAAATTTCGTAGTTCACTAAATGCTCCCTTTTCTGCTTTCTGATTTTTGTACCAGTGCTATTTTCTTTATTACAGTGGCAGTGATAAACCAGAATTTGAAACAAGAGCCGACAGACAGTATGCCATTAGCCTTTCTAACCAATACTAGCACGTGAAAATTACAAGCAGACATTGATGACATGGCTTGTCATTTCAACCTTCATGAACAACTTTTTAAAATATTGCACTTGAAAAGTATGTATTCTGATCATGATCAACCCAACTTTTGTGATCTGTCCCAGTAGACTGCTGTTTATAGATTTCTAGAAATACCACTCCTAAATTAAAAAGTTTTAGCTACAGTGTGACATTGTATAACCAACAGCACACAAACACAAGCCAGCGAATGACTCATTCCTATATGCTATTCACAACTGCAAGGTAGTAGATAAGTGAGAATGTAGCTCAGGAATAAAAACCTTATCAAGTACCATGCTAGATACCTTGTGCTATTATTAAATTATTTGATGGACTCAGTACGCAGCGAAAAGAGTAGAGAGCAGATGGGCAAAGAGGTGGCTCTGTGGTATGAATTTTTCAAACCAGTTTCTTAGCTCAGTATCAATTTATTCGGTAACCACAGGTATTTTAAGTTGATGATAGCCATTTGTGGAAAATTTGTGAACATTTAGACTATAACCCCCCGACTCTGAAAATTACAAGTTTTAAGCTCTTATAACAAGAGTTATGTAGTATTTCATCCAACAGTAAACATCAGCATTTATGATATCTGGTCACTATCAGGTTTTGAATATGACCTAGCTCCTACATATCCTATGATTAGTTTGAAATCTTCTTGCAATCCACCAGGATGCTTTAAATGTGTCATGGGAAAATGAATTAAAATATGTTAATCTAATGCAAAACAGTTTTTAAAATCATGCATACAAGGTCTCTTCAAAATGATCATGAAAATATATGTTATATGAAAAACAGCACAGAGGTAAACATTTTTGCACCAAGATAAGCCTAGGTTTCATTTCTGCTTTCCGTGAACATTTTGAATGGCTCTGTATTTCATCTTCTGTATATTTTGCTGGTTCTTTTTCCTTTTTAATATAAAAACCCAGTGAGCTGCCTATTGCGCTCCACTCCGTGAGGAAGCCAGAGTCCACCAGGCCTGAAGTTGGTCTTGCTGACAAGGGATTGATCACTTCCATGCTCCTATGCAGAAGCTTTCCGCCTGATCTGAGTTTACTCTCAGAGAGTGATGGTGTGGAACTGCAGTCAGCAGTCATTGACTGTGGAGTTGGTTGCTCCTTCGGAAATTGAAATAAATTGGCTGAGGGAATGTGCGGAACAGCGGTTGGTGAATTTAACACGGAGTACTGTGGGCCCTCACAAGTAATGAGTGCATTATGCTAAGGCAGAAAAAAAAGGCAAAGGGAAAACCCACTTAAGAACACTGGATTTCTCCATATGAATCAAGATATCAAAAATGTAAACAGATCTTTTATGATTTAATGGTAGCTGGAGTAAATAGGGAATTTCATCTGTCTCTGAATGATTTTATTGGAACCTCTATCTTCCACTAGCGTGTCCTTTATATTAGTGGTAGATTAACCTCTCCAATAGCAGGAATTTCAAGAACCAATTCACAAACCTAAGAATTTATCCTTTGTTCAGTAAAGCAATGCATTAAAACTGTGCCCTGTCTCACTCACTGATTTTTATTATCCACTAGTTCTTACATGGACTCTTCTCCATTTGCAGAACTGCTTATGGATTCAGAGGAATCTAGAAAGCATAGGCTACCCTCTTCTAGAAAGAGAGAAAACTGCCTCACTCATACAACCCTTCAGAGGTAGAAGTCAGATTTGGGTGTAGACCTTGAGATACAAATACAAGTGAGAAATTCTCCTGATGCTTGCACAGTTCAAATTCAGCAGAAAGGAAATTATTCAGATAACCATGCTCTAATAAGTCAAGTTTAACATGCTTCAGCAATGGAAAAAGGCAAAGGCTAAGCTGGTAACTGTTTGGGAAGATTACTCTCCTAATTGGCACAGAGCAATGACTGGTTTTAGGGGATAAACACTGGTTTGGGGCTCAGAAATCCTGGGTTCGAATTCTCTTTCAGTCAAGTTGAACTTGTTACAGTAATACTGTATCTAAACTACTTGTGTCTCATTTATAAAGCAGGATTCAAAGAGAAAAACGTTTTGCTTTTTTAGAGATTCTGTATGGATGTTGAGTTAGCACCTCAACAATCAGTACTACAGAAATGCTGTCTGCTTAATTATCACTTTCTTCCCTACTCTACTGAACACTGAGCATGTTTTTTGCTAGTATAAACCCTGAACTACTTCTAGTAAATATGATTAATCACTTCAGACTGCTTTGTTGGGTTTTCGGGGACTCCATCGTCTGACACCCCCAATGGATTCCAAATAGACCAAAAATAACTACAAATATGGATAGAAGAATAGCTTATTTGATTATTATTTTCTTTCTGTAAATTATCTTGCTTAATTCTTATTCTAACTTGTAAGTTAGGTGTTTTTATTTCTATTTTAATTACAACAAGATTTGTTTAGAAAAGGCAAGTCATCTTTCCAAGGCCATGTGCTCAATAACAAAAGCATCCATCCACCAGAGACCTAAGTCCTATGGTTGTATGCTACCCATCATTCACTGGACTCTGCCCCTATTGCCCCTGATGGCTTTCAGAGTGTTGTGGAGAGAGAAATTTTGTAGGTTTTGATATGTATTAGTTGACAGACAATCTCAGAACTGTTTCATAAGCTCTGAGAACAACCAGAGATCATGGAATAGCATGCCCTTGAAGGGAGCTTAGGTAGGCAACGAAAACATGTTAGTCTGGGTCACAATACCATAGAAAATACATGGCACCTTTATTGTTCATCATCAAAATCTCTAAAAATAATTTTTAAAAATTATGCATATTCTATCACATCAGTGAAAGCTGATGTGCTTTCCAGTTTGTCTTTGTGGAAAAATCTTGTAGAGGCTAAACCCCCTACTCCTTTTAAATCATTTTTTTCCATTTAATCTGAAGTGGTTAAAGTTTGCCTAGGCAGTTTACTCCTCCAGATGAAAACAGAAACATCAAGGCAGAATATGGAAGCGACTTTGTAAAGTTCATGGAATGAAAACACTGACAGGCATATTCACTTGTTTTGAAGAAATAGTTGTAATTTGTTTTGAAAATTTATCTAAATATGAACATAAGAAAACACTTAACAAATACATTCTATGGTAAAAAAAAAATTGTCACTGTATAGACTTAATTGAACTCCATAGCTAACAAGAATAATTGTTGAACCGTCTCTTCAGACAGTTATTTTTTCTGGAATTATTGGCAACTCGTTTTTGCCCAGAGGCAAGGAAAATGGGCTAGACATGTTTTAAAGTTCTGTTCACAGTTATAATTTTATGACAGTGCAATAAATTTTAAGATGACCATAGGGAACATGTTGTTCTACACAAGCTTTTTACTGTGACTATGAATTTACAGTAATTGGAGATAATTTACTATTTTATGAGGCATAACAGAATAATTGTGCCATTTTCAACTTTAAAGAGAAAAGAGTGGGAGAGGTCTGGTCAGGATGATAAATGAGCCACATTGTCCTATGGATATTTCCCTTTAAATGAAGAATATTTTCATCTAGTAACATACTCCAGTTTTTCATTTTTAATGCTTTATTCTTCATTTTTTGGCAGTGATGTCAATTCAGTGTTTTTGCATTCATTGAATTATATTGTCGAGTGTAGAGAGTCTTAAATTATGCCAATCCATGGCATCCATATTAATTTTACAATCTGTTGAGATTTCTTCTCAAAGGCAAATGGAAATTAGCCGATCAGTACCCTAACATATCCCATATAGTGCAACTATTGTTTAAAGAGACACATTATGTCTCCTTACACATGTATTTCTGACCTGAAGACATACTTAAATCATGGAGGGTCAGGACGGGGAGAAGAATGAGGCATCACTTCCCTTACTTTCCCCTACCTATAGTTCCCTGATCAAGGAGTAGGCTATCAACCTTCTAAGACCCCTGACACTTCCTCTACACTATCATCTAACTACTAGGATTTATATAATATTTCTAAGTTTCCAAGAGAATGGACATACAGTAGGTAGGAACAGATTTGTCCGTGAGCTATATATGGATAGAGTGAATTATACCTAGTTTTCCTGCACACACACAAAAAAAATTCTCACAAGGATTTTGTTTGGCTTGGGACTCCTTTCTTCTCATCGTTGCATTGTCCATATTTTAACTTATACCCAGGTAAGTTTCCACAGTACATGGTATTTTCCTAGCAATGACAGCCACTCTTTGTCTTTCTTATATTGCATTTGCTTAGTGACAGTGAGGACCTGGGAGGCCTGCTCACCATGTAATCTCCAGAACCTGTCTTGTGTCTGACTGAATGGATGGAGATAGCACAAAAGTAAGAAAAATAAATATCTTTGTTTTTGTGGCAGAACTGGGTGGTAACAGGATAATTCAGTTAACACAAATATCAGAATTAAGAACCTGGTTGATGAACTTGGACTAGGGTTCTCTATAGTTTCTTTAAAAATTATTTATTCAATATTCCATGATACAGTTATTTCTCCCCCAAAGTCCCAACCCCCTCTAATTTCCCTCATGTCATTACAATAGTATAGTCCTTCACAATCACTTGTAAGTCCATCATTCTGCTATTTAAGACTATCCTGACCTTGTAGGCATGGACAATGGCAAAGTCCAGCATGCTACTGTTACAATACATTGAACAGTTTCATTGGGAGTCAAACTTTGATTTGGAAGTAGAGATGCACACTGCATTGTATCTTTACATCTGTATGTGATGGCCTGTGCTACACAGTTACTACACATCCCTTTAAATGAAAAGCCATAAAATAAAATCAAGAAATAAAAATTGAAAATTTACAGTAACATGAATCTAACAACATGCTACTGAATGACCAATGTGAAGCTGAAAAAATGAAAAAGAAAATCAAAAACCTTCCTGAAGCAAACAATACTACTGTGTGATCTATGAATGAGTGAGGAAATTAATAAGAAAAATAAAAGCTATAGCAGTTTTTTTCTTTAAAGAAGTGGAGCTAGTGGTGAATAGTACATTAGTTAAAACTTCACATTTTACTGCTATATAATGCAGTTTTCTTTGTTCTCTATCAGTGACTATGAGTAGATGTTAAAAGAAAATGACACACAAGCAGATGACACAAATGTGTTTGGGAAATACGTGGTTGAATAAAATTAAGAAAATTTTATTTTTAGGAAGAGCTTACCAGACTTGCATATGCTAATCAGCAGTATATATCTCTAAAGAAGTATGCACATCTCCAAGTTTGACATAATTTTCCTTTGGTAGGTCATCTAATGAAATATATAGCACATAGAGACCTTTAGTTTTGCCAAAGAAAATATTATGGTTTTAATGCCATATCTCTTTAGTATAAAATACCTATCGCTAAAGAACTATTCATTGAGTACAAGTGTTAAACTCTAAAGGGCAGAATCAAGACAAGCATCTTCTTGTTGTATTTGATAAAATATCAGAATATTTTACCCAATTTGAATTCTTAAGGTGTTGAAGAATATGCTAATTGCTCTAAACTAGTGAAATATGCTCAATGTTAACATTATCGAAATTGATGCAAAACTTAAAATATTCCATATAACTGGTATATGAACAAAATCCTAAAAATAATTTGGAAAACAGCAATCAAATCTAACTTGATTTTTTTTTGGTGGAATTCATTTGAACTTGCTTGTTTATCAGCAGCTACCCTAGACAAGCTTATTATTTCTTTATATACTTCTACTGGTGTTGGTGGATGCATTTAAAGAAACTCTTTCTTGTCTGGTTTAACTGCCCCTCCTTTGTCTACTCTCTGCCAGTTTAGGTGTCACTTGTAATAACTATGATAAATTGCCATGTGTCTCATGTTGTTGTTCTTTTTAATCTGCAATAGTAGCTCTCTGTAACCAGCAAAGGGAGTTGAGTTCCAAGAAATAACAAATCTAATTTAACCACACTGAATTGCAATCTCTCAGCTTAATAGGTATTTTGTTTAGTATAAAAACTTGTCATTGGAGACTCTTACAATTGTTTCATTTATCCTACAGAATAAACAGTTTATTTTTCTGATCACCTACTTTTCTGTAACATAATGGTGCAATTAAATGGTGCTACTTTATCATCCTTAGCTTCAAAAAGTTGAGTAGTATTTCTACTTTGAGTTGCTCACAGCATTGCCTGGTAGATTAGCCTTTCAAATCCCAGATCCAATAAGATAACTCACCTGGCCAAATGGTTACCCAAAGCTTATAAAATTTGGAAAAAAATTTCCCAGCCTCACATTTTAGGTTACAATCTCCCCGCCCCATTTACACCCATTTTTACCTACCTCTACTTCCTAAATACTTTCCTGCTAGTTTTCTTAGGAAGAAGCAGGTGATGGCCCAGATATCTGGGTTCCCATTACATATGATGGGTGTCTTGAATCCTGGCTTTAGCCAGGCCAGACCTCCCTCCCTCTATCCATTTCTATTATTTCTATTTCTATTTCTTTCTCTTCTCCTCTTCTCTCTTTCTGCCTTTGAAAAAAACATAAATCTTGTTAAAACTTGAATTGGTGTTTAAGTTTTCTTCTTTTCCAGTTTTTTTCTCATTAAATAATTTGTTTATTTTACTTGGAAAGTCAGTTGCTAAAATACAGAGGCAATCTTCCATCTATTGGTTCACTCCCCACACAGATGTCATGGTGAAAGCTGGGTTGCAGTGAAGCTAGGAGACGGGGACTTCTGATCTCCTACACCTGTGTAGGGGCCCACGGACTTGGGCCATCATCTGCTGCTTTCCCAGGTCACAAGGAGAGAACAGGATGGGGACAGATGATACATGAAATCAGGGAATTACACGGGAATGCCTACAGTGGCAGCTGGAGGATTACTGTATTGTGTAGCATGCTTTCCACCACTTTCTACCTCTTCTCAGGGTTTGTTTTTATTCAGGGTTTGTTTCCTGGATGAAACATACTTATTTTGGGGACCTAGGAAATATTCTTTTAAAATACCATGTAGTGTACAAAGCTTGGCATACAGAATCATTTAAAAAAGATTTTCAGGACCAGTGTGGTAGCATAACAGGCTAATCCTCTGCAACATCAGCATCCTATATGGACTCTGGTTTGTGTTCCAACCGGTCCAATTCCAACCCAGTTTCCTGCTTATGGCCTGAAAAAGAAGCACAAGTTCTTGGCTCTTGGCTTTGGTTGAAGTTTCACTTCAGCCAATGTGACTGTGAACTAATGGATGGAATACTTCTCTTTCTTTACTTCTC